AAGATGGAAAATGATTGGGAGCTAAGACTTTTTATCTCCCCTTTATTGTACCTAAAGCTTCATAAATCTTAATAAAGTTTCTGTTATTGATAAAAGAAAAAAACTTTATCACTTCAAGATGGAAAATGATTGTCCATATCAATTTCATGCACAGCAGTTGTAATCTTTGGTATGTCATTGTTCTGTTGTATGGCTCTTTGCATAATGTTTGACAAATGGACTTTCTATATTTTTAGCCTGCAAAAGTCTTGAATTGCATGATAGCTTTTGTATCAAATTGCAAAAGTCTTGGATTTCATTATTGTTTATTCTGGCTGAAGTCATATAGTGATAAAACAATGCAGGAGTCTTATAAGAATATGCATTCTAGTAAAAATGTCAACATGTGTTATGGGTGAATAGAGGAGGAGGAAAACTGAAAGAGAGAAGACAAAACCGAGGCTTCTAACCATTTGCCTGTCTCATCTCAAAATGAGAGAGGTTCTTTATATTAGCATTATAAATATCCAAATTACAAAATAATACCCAATGGAGTAGATAGATAACTCATTAAAATCCCTATTTATAACTGTTCTTCCCAGAATACCCACTTCTTCATGCACAATTCAGTTTAAACATTTGAATACTAATGAACTGAGCACTGATTTCAGGTAATCTCATTACTGCCTGCAAGGTGGCGTGATGCAAACTAGGGGTGCAACTTGGGCAGGCTTGGGTTGGCCTTGTGTCAAAATTTGAATGGGTGTGGCCCGAAGGCCTGGGCCTGAAAGTGTAAAATGCTAACTTGGGCCAATCCAAGTTGCACCTCTAATGCAAACTTGTAGGTTGAGTCTTGTAACTAAATGGTTAATTTTTCCTATTTTCTCTTTCCAATATCTGTTTAATAATTGTATGGGAAATTGTTTTATTGTTATTATTCTGCCTTGTCAAGTTATGGATCTTTGGTGGTTCGTGCATGATTCCCATTTGCTTTCCAATTTTCATATCAACTTATAGCTGGTTCAGCCTTCTGAATCCCTGATTGAATGTGTTTCAGTATTGTTTTGAACTGTGTATATAACCAGATTAATCTAGATTTGAAAATCGATTTGCTACACATTCAAAAGGACAATTTTCAGTCAAACTGTCAAGTGCTTCTTTCTTGTAGCTTGCTCTCAACATTCTTCACATTATCATTTTTTCCTCCCAACTATATGGGGTCGGCTACATTAGTCCTGTTTCTTTCCATTTCTTGTATTTATTTAATTGCAAATTTCAGTCTTTTAATTCGTCTGCTTTTTGCCTTGTCTTCCAATACTAATTGGCTTATGCATCTTTGTTTCACTATGGATTTACCACCCATGCAGTATCTGGATGAGAACAAGTCCTTGATTCTGAAGATTCTTGAGAACCAGAACTCAGGAAAACTGAGTGAATGTGCAGAGTAAGTTTGGCTTTGACTATTATTGATAATGCATAATGATAAATGATCTCTGTGGAGTGTGTTAAAACTTTATTTTTAACCATTTCATTGATTCATTAGTTATCCTGGAGTTATCCTTGGAGGTGGGGAGATATTAAGTTGAGAATCCAATTATAACATTCTTTTCCACATGTTTACTTCCATCCTAGTGCAACATATGGTGACTAGCGTCCTACATGATAGTTGCTTTTTCTTTGATGGACTGCGATCTAGTGCGTATTTCTATTATTCTATGAATTGTTCAAATTTTTGTACTGGATGCCTTTTTTTGGTAAGTCTGGGTGCCTAACTATTGCACAATATATCATGGGAAGCAACTTTCCATCAATGGATTGTTTTTCTTTTGTGTCATTTTTCCTGGATTGTGGAGCTTGTGCACCGTTTCTTTTTTTTTTTTTTTTCTTGTGTTGAATATATGGATCTGAGTCAAGAGATTTCAGGGATAAGGTTTGGGTGATGATGATGATGATGATGAACTCAGAAATTTTATTAAATAAAAAGGAGTAATATATGTACATACAGCAAAAGCAACCCATGGAGAGGTACAAAGCTGCTACCTCTCCACAAGTACATTTACATTACAACTGAGCCCAATACAATTGCTCCCTATTGACCCCCTGCTTAGCTAATGTATCAGCCAACCCGTTAGCAGACCTTTGGACTCATTTTATCCTTGACACCATATTGTTAGCTAGCCATTTGAATTTTTTAACTTTCTTTATGAGCCCATACCACATCCTCTGGATTTCTTAACCAGCCCACCACCATCTTGGAACCCCCTTCAATAATCAACCTCTCCATGTTCAAGTCTTTTGTTGATTTTACCCCTTGGGTTGCATCTAAGAGTTAGGTCCTTATAGAGAGTCCCCAACTCCAATTGGTCTTGAAAACAAAGCAATGGCATGACTTTCTTCATTTCTAAAGACTCCCTCTATTCAAAAGGAACCAGATTACCATGACTACTCCCATTAAATTCATCCATAGGAGGTAACTGAGATTTATGAGCAAGTTTCGTTTTTGGAAGAACTTGCCAGCTCCCCCCAATTTCTCCATATACCAGCATAGGAGATAAGGAGAAGGGTGAAAAGACGTCCAATGTTCTCTCACCCTATGTATCACCCCAGTCAAAACACACTCCATTACTGCATGTTGACTCATCTTGGTACATCACCTTTTGGTTTTTGCTAGGAGAATGGACTATAAAACGGGGGGTAGCTAGCTCTTTCTCCCAACCTTGGTGAAGGCAGAAGCCAATCCAAGGTTCCTGCCACAACCAGCTAGCTATTGCACCTTGAACAAAGAGTTGCCACATCACCCAAAAGAAAAACAAATTTGATTGATCAAAGAGATGCATCAAGTTGTTTTAATTGTTGTCCATATGCCTTCTTTCAAATGAATGTAGAATATATATTTTATTTGCAGATATGAATACCATGGTTGAGTTCCATTAAATAGTACCAGGAGTTGATTAATGTTCCATGGACCACGTATGGCTAGTCTGAAATTCCCTGCTTATTCATCTGTTTTCTATTTTTCTGCCATGTTGTCCACCATCACCAGAATTACAATCTGTCTTATTCATAGAAATTTGATAAACATGCAATATCTGAAACCCCATGTTTCCTCCTCGGGAACTGGTGTGTTGTGTTGGGTTCACTGCCTCAGTTTATACGGAATGTAGAGTAGATATGTGAAGGTATTAGGATTCTTGGGGTTCTAGATTTAGCCTGTTAAGGATCATCCAGTGCTTGTGCTTTGTCATGAGGAATAATAGCAATGCTACTGAATTGTCTTCTATTAATTCTTGTTTTTGGTGCATGCCATTTTATTAGGGAGTTTCCGTAGTGGTATAATAGTTCCCACATTTATATTGATTCAGTGATTATTTTGTGAGACTAGGAAAGTTGGTTTTGATTTTCCATCTTTATAGGAATCAGGCAAGGCTTCAAAGGAACCTTATGTATCTGGCTGCCATTGCTGATTCTCAACCTCAACCACCTGCCATGCATGCTCAGGTACAGGTCACCTCTGCCCCCCCTCTCTTCATGTTTTAGTTTAAGAAATATCTTCATTTTCCGTTCTCCTTTTCTCCTCTTTTTTTTTTTAATGGGGGATGACTTACACTGGGAACCATGTTCTCCAGTATCCTACCAATACCATCATGCAGCCAGGTTCTGCACACTACATGCAGCACCAGCAGACCCAGCAGCAGATGACACCGCAGTCACTCATGGCTGCTCGATCCTCCATGTTGTATGCCCAGCAGCCTTTGTCAGCACTGCAGCAACAAGCTTTGCATAGCCAGCTTGGTATGAGCTCAAGTGGGAATAGTGGACTTCACATGCTGCATGGCGATGCCAGTGTGGGAGGCAATGGTGCAATTGGGCCTGGAGGCTTTCCTGATTTTGGCCGCACAACTGGGGAGGGCCTGCAGGCCGCCAGCAGGGGAGTGACAGTTGCAAGCAAGCAAGATGTGACAGGTGCAGGTTCTGCTGATGGGAGAGGTGGCAACTCAGGTCAAGGCGGAGATGGCAATGAGCCTCTGTACTTGAAAGGTTCTGAAGATGAAGGGAATTGAGTGGTGAGCATGGGCTCCCCGGCCGTGAACATGCTAACTTGGAGCATCCCGCTAAACATAAATGTTGTTGCATAGTGGACTTATTGTGGGATAAACGATTATGACAATAATGATGATGGTGACTACAGGCTACTTGCTTTTCTTGTTGAAGTATAAGACATGCATCTTGCATTAGGTTATCTTGTAAATCTCTAGGTTGTCGAGGGACATGTTCTCTTTGTGCTTTCCTCACCAATTTCTTTGTGCTAGTAGTAGTAGACTAGTAATAGCTGCGAGCAGGCAAAAATTTAACACATTACATGGGTGGGCCTTACCGGAAATTCTGTATTCTCCTTACTTAGAGATGACATGACAATCCAACAAAAATGGGACCTATTTAGATGAAAAAACTTTCTCCTCTTAAAATTAAAACTAAAGTAGGTCCAATCTCTTTTCATGTGGATGACAAGGCTATGCGGCCCACACCTCCTTGTGATATTCTTTTAACGTTGAATGAGATGGTTATAATATTTTACATCCATTGTGAAAAAGTGAAATTACTTCATAYGTAGTAGTAGCCAAAAGTTTTTACTCTTTTTTAGATGGATTTGATGTGGAAAGAACAAAAGCCAAATCTGGTTGCAATTTGCAAGTATGAAATTTCCAAGAGAATAAAAAGGGCTAACAAGTTAGGTTGAAAGCTCTCATTTCTATAATTCTATTCCACTTGCAAGAGGCTGAGCGCTTAATATGACAAGTTGATAACCAGAATGATTAAAGGCTTTAATCATTTGCAAATTGCAATCAAGATTCAAGATCCAAATTCATCTTCTCTCATAACATTCCCTATGCCCTACCCAATGGGCCATATATGTTGTAAACCAGAGCTTCAAACGTAGAGAGAATTTAATCTCTTCTATAGCGTGAATATACAAACATATACCCCTAAAACAAGGATCAAACCCATAAGAAGCTATACAATGATATATAAATACATACATGTGTGGAGTATATATGACCAATCAACTGGAATCATAGACTTGGTAGTGAATCAAGTGTTATTTACCAAAATTAATGGGTGGGTTTTGATTGGTCAAAACTCTTTCCATATCATATGTAAACAATGCATGTGCGTGTGTGATTTATCAATGTTCACATGTATAGGCGTAATTACAGAAATATCAGAGTAGCCATTTAAGTACAAACAAATTGCAATTTGCAGTGAGCCTGAGACATCTATATAACTGAATTACAATCGGATGGAACACAAAACTGCAGTTTTGAAATCCAAGCGGCACTTGAATGGTGGTTTTGTCGTCATGCTTCTCCAAGTTCCCTTCTTTGGATGGTAGATTTGGATGAACAGTGATGGCAGCTTCTTTTGCTGCCGAGGCCTTCGGATGTCCACAGAGTCGATGTAGTTAATTGCAGACATCACATGCAGCTCTCCATCTATTGCAGCAAAACCGAAACAAGTGTCTGTAGGAGCTTTCTTTGGAACACTCGACTCCTTTTGCCACCTATTAGAAGAAATATCATATCTGCAGTTGCAGAATATGGAAAAGGCAGATCCAAGTGTTAGCCAACTAAGAGACCCTAAATAACAGAGGATGAATACACTACAAAACCATGGTGTAGGATTATTGTTTGAAGGAAAAGTCTTGGTTTGCATGCTCAGACCAGCTATCAGAATTGGGCACATTCAAAAAGGAAATACGAGCAAGGCAAGTGAAATTAACCATTGTTTTTTATGAATCAATGCAGGTCCATCCATGTATCTCAAAAGCAACATGGCCATACCCAGGAATTTGCTATCTTTGTCAAGTAGAACCAAAATGCAGCCAGATGAGTTTTCCTCTTCATAAGGTCGATTAGGCATCTAATAACTTCATCTCAATCATTTGATAATGGTTAATGTTTGTTACATYAAGTGTTTGAATTTAACCAACTGTGAGAATGGGTAAGACAATTACCAATTAATCCTCCCAACAGTTTGACATTAAAGGAGAGAAAAGGCTGATTAAGCATCTAATAACTTCCATCTCATTCATTTGATGTGTGCTACATCAAGTGTTTGAATCTCACCAACTATGAGAATGGGTAAGACGATTACTCCTCCCATCAGTTTGACGATAAAAAAGAGAAAAGACTGATTAAGCATCTAATAACTTCATCTCATTCATTTGATATGGTTACTGTGTGCTAGATCAAGTGTTCCAATTTCAGAAACTGTGAGAATGGGTAAGACAATTAATCCTCACAATAGTGCCGGTGCCCCAACTTTTATGCAACTAAAATCACATTAAATTTCACTGTACACAGGGACATGGATCAGCCAACACTGAGAAAACATTTCAAGAGATTCAATCAGAAAGCATCAACCCTCAAATCCATAAGAAATATAAAAAAGGTCATTTATGGAGTCTAATCAATTCAAACTAACACGGCACTGCTAATTTACAAGCATTAATTCTTCTAAACAAATCATGGGAAACCAAAGTCCGAGAAAGCTATGCCACAATCACTACTAAAACGAAGCAATAGAACAAACCCAGATGATACAATCCAATAACATTCGAACCATGTTGAGTCAGAAAAATTACCTGAAAATATCATTCCTATCGAGCATAAAAATCCCGGGCATTTCGCCGTCGTCCCCATCGACGGCAACAACCTTCCCAAGCCTACGCCTCTCCCCTTCTTCCCACATATCCCCAATTTCCCTCCACTTCCCCCCATTCTTCAACTCCAAAACCGCTCCATCTTTGTAATATTCATCCACAGGAAACACCCCAGAAACAGTCCTGGATTCCCCGTACCCACCCATCACCCAGAATTCCCTGTCCACGCCCTTCCCAACCAAGAACCCAACGCACCCAGCACGAAACCTCGGCAATCCATCGAGCGCAACCCACTCATCCTTCTCAACATCGTATCTCTCGGCCGAACTCATCCTGCTCCCGGCTGCTCCAAACATCGGGTGTCGAGAGCCACCACCGGCGACGAGAATTTGCCCCGAATTGGGAAGCGCAACGCAAGCAAAGCTACCGCGGGGGGAGAGCATCGGGGAGAGACAATCCCAGGTGGAGGTAGAGAGGTCAAGACGGAAAATGGAGGAAGACGGAGACGGGCGGTCGATGGGGTAGGATCGGGTGTCGAAGAGGGACCCGCCGAGGACGTAGAGGTGGTGGCCGATGGAAACAGCGATAAAATTGGAGAGGCCGTAGGCATGGGGGTTACAGGGCATGGGAGGGAGAGGACACCAAGCGAGGTGATGTGGGTCGAAGAGATAAGGCGGGGTGAGAGAAGGGTCTTCAGGGAAGATACAGAGGAGGTGGGAGAAGGCGAGGTGGGTCCGACGAAGAGAGAGTAGGGTTTTAGGGTTGGAGAAGAAAGTTCTCCATGATTTGCAGGTGGGTCTGAGACGGGCGTGGTGGGAGTAAGGGATGAAAGAGAGGATTAAAGAGGAGAGGTCGTTGGGGAGGCCTGGAATTAGGGTTAGGGTGGTATCGTTACGATCAGTAGAATCACCAGATGATGACGATAGTAAAGAAGAAGAAAAAGAAGAAGTCATTACAGGGTGGTTTGAGTGAAATTGGAATGTGAATTGGAGTGATGTCTCTCGGTCACTCGCTGTCGCTGAGTCGCCGGGGGTGTTCGTGGTTTTCAGTTGTGCTACTCTTCCTTTTGTTTCGACACTTTTCTTTTCTGGGGTCGTTTCGACTTCGAGGGAAATGTGGGCTTTTTTCTGCTTGCGTTTTATGGCGATTCCTTCCTTTCCAAGGTTTCTTTCTTATGAAGATTTGAAGACATCTTCTCTTCTCACATCATCAAATGTCCAAAAAGCGTTATATCCAGACGCGTGGATTGTAGCCTTACGAAAAGGTCAGCACTCAGCACCCAGCAATCCAATCAAGCAACGCTTTCACGAATCACCGTTAACTGCTTCACGCTGCAGACGTTTGATCTGACGGGGGGTTTTCATAGCCCATTCTTTCTTTCCCATTTCACGGGAGCTGTTGTGGTAACTGATCACACCTCTGACCTCACCACTCCTTCTCTTGAGTGCAAAGGAATTCTGAGGTTTACCGTGAATATACACATGTCATAAAAATTCATTATTAAACAATATAATGACCGTTTTAGCTATAAAAATCTATTATTAAAATGATTTTTTTGTCCGATTTAAGTATTGACAATTTTTTTAGGTAGAAAAATTATTTATCTCTTTCACAGAAAAATAAAGTTTTCTTAATCCTCACATAAATCTAAAAAAAAAAACAAAAATGAGCATTGGATTTCTTAGTCAATGAGAACCAAAATAACATTGACCAACTTTTCCCCTCTCAAAATCTAAAAAAAGAACAAAAAAGTACAGACAGGTCCAATACAGATTTCTGATTTCTGTTGTAAAACTATAAATATTCAAAATATCAATAACCCACACTCTATGCATCCACGCCCGCCTATGAATTGGCATCAATTCCGAATTGACACCTACACCAACAGTACCTTAGGTCTATAAATTCTAACCCTGGGCTGAACCATCATTCTCCCAAAAAAGAATGCCCCCTAATGATCACCAAAAACCGAATAGAAAATAGGTAAAATCTATAGTGCATCCTATGCACCATGATAAGTACATTTTGTCCAGGTGAAAGTATACTATGAAATACAAACTAATAAAAAACTAAGCAAACTTTAACATGATTGATCAAGATGATTTAACATATAGCCAATATTAACTTAGAACCATAGAACCCTAGGATATTCTAATTTAATGTACACTAATGTAAATTTGTAATTGCCCAACTATTTATTTTTTGAATGATAAAGCGTGAGCATTGGGGTGATTATTTTATACTTGAAGTACTGTCATTTATTAATAATAACCCTAAGTTTAAGTAGATGACCTAGTAATGGTTGAAATAGTCATTTAGATTCACTCCGAAAGAGGAGATGAAAGATTTTTTTCTCTCCATTTTTAGGGTAAAATATAAAAACCTCCCTTGAGGTTTTACTTTAACAAAAATATCCCTCATAGTTTTGAAAAGGAACCTGCAGTTACCTCCCTTTTATTATTGTCATTGTAATGAAGAATTAGGTTGTATTTGGTTGCTTGCACTAGTACAAATGCATGGGAGTGCAAATGTAAAAAATGCAAATTTTTATTTAATTTAATTTTGTTTTGGATTTTACTTTATTCTGCTTCATGTCTTAATTTACTTCATTTGTACTGAAATCAAACAAAATAAGCTAAAATTTGAAACAAAAATAGGTTAGAATTTACACTCAAATCATTTGCATTACCATGGTTTTGCATCAGCACAAATTTATTTGCATTGCAACCAAACACAACCTTAGTTACAAAATTTTCCATGGTTTTCAAAACTGGACCAGATCGGATGGTTAGACTGGAAAAACCGAGATGACCGGTTTTGTTTTCCCCCAAAATCATTGATTTTGGTCAGCAAACCGCTGAACCGGCCGGTTAACCGTTCGTACCATTCAAACAGTTTTGACCATTTTCCAATTTTTTTATTTTTTTTGTCAGAACGGGCCAATTGTTCGACCCCGAATGGTTGGACCGTCTGAACCGGTAATCAGACCCCTGACCGGTTCGGTCAYCGATTCATTTTTAAAAACCATGAAATTTTACTTACCACTCATTAGAACATCTTTCGACATAATTCAAAATGCCAAATTTGTCCTTTTAGACTTCACTTTATCCTTACGAGCTTAATTATAAAGTAAAATTACATTATTCTTTTCAATCTGGTTCGGGGATTTTTTTATTTGAAAGTTAAAAATTCTTTTAAGGGTATTTTAGTATTTTTTATCTATAATGATACATAAGGGTAAAATGAGTATTTTAAAAATTAATGCATTAGCCAACATTTCCCACTTCCCATTTGGGACAATTAGGGGAGGTAACTATAGGTCTTATAAAAATTATAAGGGAGGTTTTTGTTAAAATAAAACCCCAGGGAAGAGGTTTTTATGATTGTCAAAAACCCTAGAGAAGATATATCTATATCTATATATAGACCTTAGCAGTCTGTTAGTGGGCCAGTAACAGAGTGCACACACAACCCACTTTCACACAATATGGAGAGCTTGCCTTTCCACGGTTTAAACCTGTACCCCAAGGGATGCTTTAGTTTAGTATCAACTCCACATCGAATGGATTGACAAGATGCAAGATTGATATTGGAGAATTGTGAAACTCTGTATGGTATGGCCAATGGAGACATGCACCCTGCTCAATCCTCACCCTTGAGTCTTTATAGATCTGCAGTGATTGATTAATCTGACAATTATATCGAAGTATTTGAAAAAACCCTTAAACCTCTTCTCTGATTTACTTCAACCCTTGAACATCTCTTATCAAAAAGGTTCCTTCTATTAACCTTGACAAAATGGAAGAAATACTAAGGATAAAAAACCCCCTCAATACAAAGAGAGGTTAAGATATTTCTTATAAGAGTTATGTACAGGAAAATTATTGATTTTGATAAGATGTTTTCAAATTCAGGTCTAGTCAGATTGGACTTATATTTGTATTAAGATAAAACAAATGGAGTTTGAAATTTGGATTCTGATCAAGGGGAATTTGGCCCGACCTCGCAATCACCCGACACGTGGCAAAAACAAACAATTCGGGGCAGTAGAACGTCCGAAGCGAGCACCGAAAGTAAGTCCAAGCTCATTACTGAGCCCGAACTCCAGACCGCTCTACTAGGAGCCCAAGCTCCCTACCAAGAGTCCGAGCTCCCTACTGGGAGTCCGAGCTCCCTATTAAGAGCGGGCTCCCTACCAAGAGTCCGAGCTCCCTACTGGGAGTC